TGCCGGAATGCGGCCACAGATTTGGCGACAGTTTTGCGTAACAATCGGCACAAATTCAATGGAGGCGTCGTTAGTATACAATTGAAATTAACTTATTATTCAATTAATAATATCAACAGTTATTTTTTACATACAAAAAACTGTGTATTGTTTTATGACATTTCATGTGTGTTTCGTGTCTTAAATAACATTTGTTTGTTATATAAACTTTATAATAGGTTTTATGAATATAATTATTAATTAATGATTATTTTAATGATTATAATGAATGCGGCGTTTGTTTTGCTGATAACAAATGATAATCATTAAAAGCTATTAGAAAAATGCAGTTAATTATTATTCTATGAGTTTTATTCGCTAATTATTTTGCTAATTATGAAACAATAGGTCCACTCATTCGATGGTACTCTAGAGGAAGCCGAAGAATTCATGCGAATGGGTCTCTATATCGGAATCAACGGCTGTTCGTTGAAAACTGAGTCTAATCTAGAAGTGGCGGCACTGATACCCGCCGATAGGCTTATGATCGAAACCGGTATTACATTTGATTATATAATACAGTAATTTATCTCAATATTTACACAAACAAAATATATCATAAAAACTGAGATATAATTTAATGACAATTTGTATGTTAGAGATGTGTATAAAAATCAACCAAAAAACAAAAACTTATGATTTAATACATGTATTAAAAAAAAGCAAAACACAAAAAACAATTAATAATAATGAAAATGTATATAAAACACAGACAGTCCGTGGTGTGAAGTGAAGGCCAGTCATTCCGGTGCCAAACATATCGCAACACAGTTCCCGAGCCGTAAGAAAGAGAAGTTTGAGACCGGTTTACACGTGAAGGGCAGGAATGAACCGTCAAATTGTGTACAAATATTGGAGATATTGTCTGCCGTTAAGAAGAAGCACACTATCGACGAATTGGCCGATATTTTCTACGAAAACACAATCAAACTCTTCTTCAGCGCCCGGTCTTAACAAATGAGATAATAAATGGACGCGATTTTTGTCCACTAATAATATGGGCACCACTTTTGATCCACTGCTGCTTATTATGTGTTTTTTGTGATCGTTTTCGCCAATCAATAGATATATATTTTTATAAATTATTTCCAATTATATATAAAATCAAAATATTTATTATTAAAAATGGTTTTCCAGGAAAACCATTTTTAATAATAAATATTTTGATTTTATATATAATTGGAAATAATTTATAAAAATATATATCTATTGATTGGCGAAAACGATCACAAAAAACACATAATAAGCAGCAGTGGATCAAAATTGGTGCCCATATTATTAGTGGACACAAATCGCATCCATTTATTATCTCATTTGTTAAGACCGGGCGCTAAAGAAGAGTTTGATAGTGTTTTCGTAGAAAATATCGGCCAATTCATCGATAGTGTGCTTCTTCTTAACGGCAGACAATATCTCCAGTATTTGTACACAATTTGACGGTTCATTCCTGCCCTTCACGTGTAAACCGGTCTCAAACTTCTCTTTCTTACGGCTCGGGAACTGTGTTGCGATATGTTTGGCACCCGAATGACTGGCCTTCACTTCACACCACGGACTGTCTGTGTTTTTATATACATTTTCATTATTATTAATTGTTTTCTTGTGTTTTGCTTTTTTATACATGTATTAAATCATAAGTTTTTGTTTTTTGGTTGATTTTTATACACATCTCTAACATACAAATTGTCATTAAATTATATCTCAGTTTTTACGATATATTTTGTTTGTGTAAATATTGAGATAAATTACTGTATTATATAATCAAATGTAATACCGGTTTCGATCATAAGCCTATCGGCGGGTATCTGTGCCGCCACTTCTAGATTAGACTCAGTTTTCAACGAACAGCCGTTGATTCCGATATAGAGACCCATTCGTATGAATTCTTCGGCTTCCTCTAGAGTACCATCGAATGAGTGGACCTATTGTTTCATAATTAGCAAAATAATTAGCAAATAGAATAATAACTGCATTTTTTAAATAGCTTTTAATGATTATCATTTGTTATCAGCAAAACAAACGCCGCATTCATTATAATCATTAAAATAATCATTAATAATTATATTCATAAAACCTATTATAAAGTTTATATAACAAACAAATGTTATTTAAGACACGAAACACACATGAAATGTCATAAAACAATACACAGTTTTTTTGTATGTAAAAATAACTGTTGATATTATTAATTGAATAATAAGTTAATTTCAATTGTATACTAACGACGCCTCCATTGAATTTGTGCCGATTGTTACGCAAAACTGTCGCCAAATCTGTGGCCGCATTCCGGCAGTGAAGGAATAGCGGCAAACCTGTGGCCTCCGATACAGACAACTGTTTGATGAAATACCTGTTCGGGAGAAACCCCGAAACCGGAGAAGAAGCTAGCGATTAGATTCCATACAAATAACACTATAACCACTTTCTTCGCTCACTTTAACTGTTGCTCTTTGGGACAGAACTGGAGCCGATCGTAGTCGAGGCCGCATTCGCCGACGGCCACCACTTTGTCCCGATTATTGTTCACCAATTGTATCAATTCGTCCACATATTTGTCGGCGTCTCCGTAGGCGTCAAACTCGAGACATCGGGTCGGATGACAGCCGACAGTGCTGTACAGCATTGCATCCGTTTTGGCCAACTCTAGCGCCGTTCGGCTGTCCTCTAGACTACCGCCGGTCACTATAATCTGCGCTCAAATTATACCACTATTAATAAACCACTCAATCGTTTACTATTAGGCAATCATTACGTACTCGTTGTATGCCATAAGTGACGGACCGTTTGATCACATCCGACAGGTCGTGGATGTGCTTCTGTGACCCGTTATATATACCTTTAAACATGGGATCTATTATATCAAAGACAATACATTATCAACAATATGGTAAAACTTTGATAAACAAGTATTAAATGACAGGAAATAAAGTTTCAATAAGTTTTCAAACTATGGAAAATTGCATAACAAATAGCACAGCATTTATAGCCAAAAATGCGAGACAATGTGAAAACACACATACAATTCAATGACAACTCATAAACACATCAATACATCCTTAAAGAGACTAAACAATCAAATAAATAATTATAAAATTGAGTTTTAAATCATATTAAAACATAAAGCAATGAAGAGATGACCGACCGGTGAGGTTAGCGCCGATATCGATGATCCGGCGTCGGGCCGACTGAGCGGCCGCTGCGGTGGCCATCGGGTGTGTGGTATGAATGGGATGTGTGTCTGGAAGCGATGATTACCAGACAATGAGCTGATCTCAAGTGATAATCAGTTGACAACACAATCTCTGACAGAAAAACAATGAAAATAAAACACAACTACAAAACACTATCGTATTTCACAGGCATTTAAACTCAATGTAAATGCTATGCATTATTGCAATATGAGTTGTACAGTAAAACACACACATTATATCGGGGGTCGACTGTATTATCATAACAGCGCTGTCTATGAATGGGAAGCACTAAACGTAGCTTTGAATGCATTGAAAGCATTGAAAACATGACTGCAGTCAACACTAACGGCAGCACTGGTTAGCCATTCATTGTTATTGGCGTTGCGTTCAAAACCAATCGCCTCTCTCTGTGTCTCTCTCTCGCAAACCTTAAGCCACACAACACTCGCACTTGCATTGAGTGATTACCGCAACACTCACTCCATAGACACTCTGTGGATGCGTTTGGCAATACTTTTACTCTTTTTGATACAATAATCGTAATTATTATCGCAAAACATTTAATTATAATTTGTTTTATTATATTTTTAACCGACGCTTATATCTAAGCCATTGTGTGATATAATGGGCGTTGAAGTGCAGACCATTCAAGAGGGCGACGGTATGTATAGATACACGTTATATAATACACGTTATATAACATACATGTATATTACGGGCTGTGCCTCATGTTTGCCAATGTATGGGTACTTTTATATGTATGTGTTTAAAATGAGCATGGTCGCTATCACACCGGTTACATTATGGTTAGTTTAGTTTGTAGATTGCAGTCCATGTAAATGGGTTTGTAATGGTTATGATAATCGCCGGTATTTGACGAGACAATAGGCATTGCATTGCAATGCTTGCAAACCTAACGTTAAGCTCAATGTATTGATTATCAATACAAACATTTCGCTCATGTCTTCACACCTTTGCCTCTCATATAGAAATGTATAAAAGCATTGATTTTTGTTTTAAACTCTTTTTAATAACTGTTTGTTAACCAAAGAGTGAGAGAAATACCACTGAAAGCTTGTATTTGCACAACGATTATAGCGATTCATATCGTAATAACTCACGCATTGTTTGTACGGCTAATACACAACTAAGACAATAGACAAACACCTCTTAACCGATGACCACAACATCTATATTGATCTCATTTTCTTAATCATAGGATCCACTTATCCGAAGACCGGACAAACGGTTGTCGTACACTATACAGGTATGTAATGTACAGTACAGTACAGTAGAGCACCGGCACTACACCACTGCCCCTCCCTTTACCACTAACGCCACAGAGTGTTGATTGATATTGAAATACGATTGCGTTTGTATTCCTCAGGAACTCTTTCCGATGGCTCGA